AGGCCGAGGTGTGAGGGGTAGACCCCAGAAGAGGGGGACGGGAAGGGAGCACCTGGACTCTTTAAGGACCTGTCTGTCTGGATGAGCTCCATCCACCCATGGCCTAGAGTCTTACATGATGGTTACTACACCAGGCCTAGGTGAGAGGAAGCGAAAGTGACCCAATGGGACCTAAAATGCCCACCAGTGCAGGGCTTTTTCATGATCTCCTGCTGTCTGGCTCCTCTGTCCACTGTTGTAGCACGAAGGAAGAAGGCCTCAGACTCGGCAGAGCCCGCGGGGCCTCCTGGGGCCTTATGCTAAGCAGAGCCGCGCTGATGAGGGGGTGAGTGGACACAGCCCAGGCGTACCGACAGCCAGGCTGGCTCTGGAAGACCCGGAGCTGCTAGACACCAGGCCGGTTGGATTGCACACGGAGGTGGGCCAAAGAGGACGCCCCCAGTGTGTGCACGCCAGCTCGGGCTTTCCTTGATGCCTCTGTACAGGCCAAGAGGAAGGTGGTGGAATTCCCAGGCTCCCATGAAGCCCAGTGAATCTGTCCTTCTATGCCACCTGCTGTCTAGGAGGAGACAGACAGACAGACAGACAGACAGACAGACAAAGGACTCCGTGCTGCCATGCCCACCTTGGAAACTCAGGGGTCTCCCCTGAAGGGCTCAACTTTGCTTTTAGCAATGGCTCCTCCGTAGGAGTCAGCTCAGGCTGGGAAGCAGCAGCCCTATCCCCACTCAGTGCACACAGAACACTCTCTGTCTAGCAGGACTAAGACTCGGGCAGGCTGAGGGCTTATGGGCTGGTCCCTCAGCTGTTCTCAGAGGCCAAGGGCAGGCAGCACAGAGAGCCTAGCTGAGCCTTCAGGAACTGACTCCCTATCTAGAGGGCCAGGTCTGCCCTCTGAAGGGACCAGGGCTCTGCTAACTAACCTGGAAGGGCTGTCAGAGAACTGGGATAGGGAAGGGGGAGTCCTGGCCTCCATCTCTGCTCCTCTTACACATACCCCGAGTCAAAAAGAAAACATACAGACCCCTCAAGAATACTGCTGGCAATGGGTGTGAAAGTTTTCCATGTATCCTGGCCCTCTTAGCACACCTAGATTCACCTTACTGGCACTGATCTTTAAGGTATGGTGCCCATGCCACAGCAGCAGCCTCCTGGGAATATGGTAGAAATGTAAACACTTGGGTTAGACTCCTGAGTCAAAAACTCTGGGTGGTAACGTGTACTTTAAAAGCCCTCCCAGGGGTGCCGATCCTACTAGCAAGAGCAAATTTTCACCAGAATAGTGCCACCTGGGAGCAGTTTAAAATACCCGGACCTTGCCATCCCTCAGACCAAAGAAATGGGAAGTCCCTGGGTCCTTCCAGGCATCAGTGACCTTCAAAGCCACTCAATCCTTCCAAACGGGACTATAATAATTTCAACTACTAAGAAGGCTAAGGAAGGAGGATCACAAGTTCAAGACCAGCCTGGGGTAACTTAGTGAGATACTGTCTAAACATGTTAAAAGTGAAAAGACTAGGGGTGGGGGTATACATCAATGGTAGAGTGCCTAGCTCACGGAAAGCCTTAGGTTCAATCCCCCCCAGGGCTCCCACTTCACCCCCAGTCACTCAGTGATTCTAAAGTAGCCCAGGCTGAGAACCACCTCACAGCCAGCACACAATTACCAGGTACCTTGCACGAGGGACTCTAAATTGCCAATTTCATCTCATCTTCAGCACTACTCTGGAACAGTCACTATCTCCCCATTTTACAGATGTAAAAACTGTGTCTCGGGGGCCTGGACTGAGATAACTGGAGTCTTAGGATCCTGGAAGCACCAAACAGGCCAGGCTGGGATCTTCTAGTTACTAGTAGAAGCCTGGAGGTCATTTCCATTAAGACGTAACTCTGCCTCCAAATGCATGTGCTACCTATTCCCCTCCCCTCCAGCACTTCCAACCCCTTCCCTCTCCCTCTCTACTCAAGAGCTCTGTCTGGCATCTGCTTCCTATGTACCCGGACTGCCTACGGCAGTGGTCAGGAGCCAAGTCACAATCTGTCCCATCTGAAGGAGAGGTGGCTCCTCTCTGACTCTGCCAGCCCAGCCTGAGAATGGCCCCACCAATCACCATTCGGCTGGAGGGCTGGCTCCAGAATGACCTTAGTTGATCCCCATGACAGTCCTGTGACATAAGCATATTTGGATTAGTAAGGATTCCCACCGTAAAAGTGGGAACCTGGGCCCAGAAGAGAACACCAACTTGTTCTCTTCTCCCATATGGTAACTGCCCAATTACAACTCGAATCCAGGACTTCAGAATCCCTGTGTGGAGTTCTTTGTCCTCCTAGAACCAACCCTATGTTATGTTTGTGTTCCTTCCTTCCCTCCTTCCTTCCTTTCTTTCTTCCTTCCTTCCTTCCTTCCTTCCTTCCTTCCTTCCTTCCTTCCTTCCTTCCTTCCTTCCTTCCTCAAGCCTCTTATGTGCCTAGACAAGGCTTCACAGGAATTGAGGAATATAGACAGCAACATTTCCCAGTAGCAACCATTCAGTGGCCAGAGGAAGGACTGGAGAGGTATATATAAAAATGTCATAGGCCCGTTGGGTACTCCCAGGTGAATGGACCAGGATGAGGTCAAGGAACCCTTCCTAAAGATGTGAGGCCTAGACAGACTGTTGGTGAGGAGCTAAGACAACACCACCAGCTTGACTAGAAGCCCTGCAGAGTGCCCGGGGCTTCAAGTAAGAAAAGAGGTTGGAGACCAGCTGAACCCAGACCAGGCTAGGCTGAGCCCTGTTCCGACTCCGTTCAGTCATCCCAAGGCACCAGAATTACCTGGAGAGAAGGCGGCTGTACCTGTGTTTGGCAAGTTCCCTAAAGCTGGGCATAGTGTTTATGTCTGCACATCCCTCCAGGTCCAGTGGATGGCTTCTTAGGGTTCCCTACAGGGGCCTGGCTAGTACATAGTCAATCCAACTCTCAATCCATGATTTTCAGTGAGGCATATGCTGCCTTTGGAAAGAAAGATGGAAGAAGTGGGGGACGACAGAAGGAGAGAAAAAAGAGAAGAGGGACAAAAGACAAGACTACAAGGACTGTGGCTGGAGTCAAGGACCCAAGGAGGGGAAGGAAGCTCCAGTTAGACCTCTGAGCCCAGGAGACTTCCGAGAGCAGGCAGGGGTCCAGTTCTTGAGATGGAGGAGATCTCAAGGTAAGATGCAAAGTAGGCTGAGTCATAGGGCTTGTTTTTAACTGAAAACACAGGCTGAAGGACAGCAAAGCTGGAGTGGCTAGAGGTGTGCAGTAGGTTGGGGCGGGGGCAGTGGGCCCTGTGGGGGGGTGGTAAGGATGATGGGTGTGCTGTGCATGTAAGTGGCCTGGGCAGCAGCTTAAACTTTGGGAATCAGTGGCGTCTGAAGAGCAGAAAGTGGGGCATCTTGCCTGGGAAAGAGAAGACTGTCCGGCTGTGAAGGTCCAGGAAACCCAGGGTTACTTGGAAGAGGGAATGTAACTCCAGTGCCCCGACTCAGCCCTGCTTGGCCATGCTAGGGAGCCAGAGGGAAGGAGATGTGAGGCTCTCGCGTTTCATGGCTCTCATTTCTCTGGCAGGGTCTAGCTGAGTCCTGGCAAAGGATCAGAACTCAACACTGGACTGGGTCTGACTAGTAACTCAATGCCAGGCTGGTCTGAGTGGGGATGCAGGACCCCCACTGCCACCAGCCACTCTTCTCTTCTGGGTTTGGGGTGCTTGCCTGCCATCTACCTCCACCCAGAATGCCTCTTAGAACCTGCCGGGCAAAAGTCCTCATTTCCCAAGGCCCTGTGCAAGCTCCGCGCTGTTTCTGAGCCTTCCAGTCAAAGCAAGAGCTGCCTTCCTATTGCCCTGCCCTGTCCACTAGGACTCTTCTTCTTCTTCTTCTTTTTTTTTTTTTTTTTTTTTTTTTTTT